GGATGGCAGAAGAGCCTCTGAAACTTGCTCTTGAACATTGTTATTAGATACTTTCAAGTCCGTTCGGACTCACGGTGACCTAAGCACAACAGAACTGACCGTGCCAGTCCTGCACCATCTTCACCATTGTTATTATCTTCGAGCCCCTGTTGCAGCCAGTGTGTCAATCTACCTGATCGAGGTTCTCTTCTTTTGCTGCCCTTCTACTCTAGCAAGCATGAAGTCCTTCTCCAGGGACTGACCTCTCTTGATGGCATATCCAAAGTCTGTGAGACAACGTCTTCCTATCCTTGCTTCGAAGGGTCATTCTGACTGTACTTCTTCCAATACAGATTTGTCTGCTTTTTTGGCAGTCCACAGAACTTGCAACATTCTTCAACACTACCTTAATTTAAATGCATCCATTCTTCTTTGACCTTCTTTATTCAGTGCCCAAATTTCACATGCATATGAGATGGTTGAAAATACCTAGGTTTGAGTCAGGCGTTGTAATCCATATTGAAGGCTACAATCCTTGACCTTCATCAGCAAGTGCTTCCAGTCCTCCTCACTTTCCGCAAGCATATATGGATATCACAGTTGTTAATAAGCCTTCCTCCAATCCTGATGTTACATTATTCTTCATATGGTTCAGCTTCTTGGATTATTTGTTTAGATATAACCCAGACACATCTTTTCTGATTTTAAAACATTTTCTTAAACATAGAGATACTGAAAAGAATGGTAAATAAAATGAAGAAAGAGTTGAACAGAAAAAGACAAAAGGTGGAATAAGAAGACACAGTAAAACATTATAACAAAAATGTGCAAAGACCTGGAGTTATAAAGCCAAAATGGAGAACATACTCAGTCTATATCCAGCTGAAAGAATTGAAGAAAAATTTCAAACCTGGAGCTGCAATATTGAAGGATTCTATGGTGGGTTGTTTCAATGCTATCCATAGGGTTTTCTACGCTATCTCTAGGTGTTTCAGTTAGGAAACCAAAAGGAAGAACACAGTAAGCATATCTTAAAATGAAAGAACTCAAGAAAAAAATTCAAATTTTAATATTGAGAAATTCTATGGGAACAATATTGAATGATACAAGAAGCATCAAAAGAAGATGGAAAGAATATTCTGAGCCACTGTACCAAAAGAACTAGTAGACATTCAGCCATTTCAAGAGGTAGCATATGAGGAAGAACCAGTGGTGCTGGAGGAAGAAGTCCAGGCCCAAAAAAGGCTCCGGGGTTTAATGAGATACCAATAGAAATGTTTCAATACGCTGAGGAAGCACTGGAAGCACTCACTCATCTTTGCCAGGAAATTTGGAAGACAGCTGCTTGGCCAACAGACTGGAAGAGATCCATACTTGTACCCATCCCAAAAGAAAAAAAAAAGGGTGACCCAACAGAATGTGAAAATTACAGAACAATATAATTGATATCACAAACAAGTAAATGTTGCTGAAGATTGTCCAATAATGGTTGTAGCAGTACATTGACAGGGGTTCAAGTTAGACTCAGAAGAGGAAGTGGAACAAGGGATATCATTGCTGACAAGGTGGATCTTGGCTGAGAGCAGAAAATGCCAGGGAAAATGTTTACTTTTGTTTTATTGACTATGCTAAGACATTTGCTGTGTGAATCATAACAAACTATGTATGCG